AGGCGGCAGAAGTGGGGGCTGAGGTGCTGGAGCAGGAGGCGATGCGGCGGGGGCAGGCCGGCGGTCTCCAGGACGGCCCTCACGCGCTGGCTGCATTCCTCCAGGCTCGGGGTCTCTGCGGGGAGGGAGACACAAGGGAAGGGCAGCGTTTACCGTCTGTAGTTGGCTCTCCTGCGTCCCGTCTCCCCCAGACCGCATCATCCCGCCCGGGCAGAGGTGCCGGCTCCCTTTGACCGTCCCAGCTCCCCTTCTCCGGTCGTTCTGCCCACCTTCCCATGCCCCTCTCTTGGGAGCAGCCTCTCCTAGCTGCCTCTCCTCACTGCAGGCACAAGGGCCTCAAGGATCATCTCCACGGCCCTCCTGCCCCAAATTCACCCCCCTCGGAGACGTGCAGCAGTGCGGCCCGGCTCCTGGCACTCTGCATGTGGCATCGGCCTGACCCAGCTTAGGCAGAGCTGGGAGGCGCGAGTCCTGTGCCCGGCAGCCGCAGGAGCCCTGTCTATGCTACTCCACCCTTGGTTACCATTGGCTGGAGCAGTGGACTTGGCAAGAAAGGCTCCTAAACCTGTTAGGCCCCTGTGATCGAGTCCAGGGATGCTCAGGCCAGGAAAGCACCACGTGGCAGGGGGGAGTCACTTCATCAATTTGGGACCAAGACGGGAGAAGCATCGTGGGGATTAAAAATCCTCAACCCCAGAGCGCGTGCACACACCTGGGCCACGGCTGCCTTCTGCCGAATGTAAAGGACCAGCCCTCTCAACATCAAGGCATGCTGGGAAAGTGGGAGACCCTAGGCTCTGGGTCACTTAGGATCCCACAAATATGATCCTAGGTGGCCTCCATGTACCCCCTGATTTGCCCCCCATGTCCTGGGCAGGTCGGCGCCCCCCTGGCTACCCTGGAGCTCTCCGAGGCCAGAGCGCACGTGGCCCAGATGCCGACTTCTCTGATACACGATTAAATCCGGATTCACTCCGCTGAGCTCAGTGCCATCGCCTTCTGGTGTGACCTTGGCCCAGTCACTTAGCCCCACCCCCACCAAGGGATTTAGGCACGTTCCTTGGGGGACAGCGTGTCCTGGGTATGCGCTCCCCTGGCAATGCCGTGTGCCTCTCGGGCAGAGCAGAGCCCCAGTATTAAGCTCCCTCTGGTGGGACCCCAAAACGGTGGGCAGGGGTTTCTTGGGACCCCGTGCCTGAGGCTGGAGCTTGTTCTGCAGGCATGGGATGGAGTAGGAGCATCTCAGCTGCATCCCCGTGGTCCAGAGGCCTATGGAGGCGAGCCTTTGAGAGCAGGCATGATGGGGACCGTTAATGCCAGGAGTGTTTGGGGAAGGGAGGGATCTGGGGGCAGCCGGATGGACAGACGGACGGACGGACGGACGGACGCCTGGAGTGCCGGGTCCCGGACGGTGCATGTGCTCTGCGGGAGCCTCTCCTCCTTGCAGTGGGCACCCACAGCAACACCCCGACGCCTAATTAATCATCCTGGCTAATGAGTGGAGAACCGAGCCCTGTAACAAGGCTGCTGGGAGACAGGGTGGAGCGCTAACGAGGCGGCTGGCAGCGAGGTTCCCCCTAACGAGACTGTGGGGAGAGCAATCGCAAGCAGCACCGAGCGGGGGATGAGACAGCGAAGCCAGCCGCTCCCCGCATGGCTCTGCCCCATGGCCCGGCCCAGGGGGGTTTGGGCCGTCACGGCCAGGGGGAATTGGGGAGCCAGCTAAGGGGTGCCCCAGGGGCTGCGTCTGGCTCAGGCTGCAGCAGCTCCCCCAAATTCAGGCCTCTGGGATCTGCCTCTCGCCGTCTGCATGGAGCTGGGACCTCCCTGGGCTCGGGCTCCATCTCCACGCGCTTCTGGCGTCTCTCCCGGCTCCTGTCCGGGGTGCAGACTCAGCCGGCCGGTCGAGTCTTGCTATGAGCTATGAGCAAGGGTCTTGCATGTACCCCCCAGGACAGACTCCCCTTGGCTCCTCCATCAAGGGACACCAGCCTGCCTGCACCCGGTGCGTCCCATAGAGACCAGGAGCCGCCGCGGGTCCTCCCAGTCCAGGATCCCGGGAGTCGGGGATGGCAAGGACCCCCCAGACGGCCCCTGGATTTCCCAGCCTTGCTCCCTGCTCTGCTTCCAGCTGGGGGTGAGCATCAGCCCCTGCTAGACAAGCTCCGGGTCGGGACCTGCCACCCTCAGGGCTTGCGGGCCGGGGTCTGGCAAGCACGTGGCAATGTCGGGTGCCCGGTGCCAGGCCGAGGGGGGCTAAAGGGACCCCCAGCTGGCAGCTTTCACACCAAACCTCGGCCTGGGCCCTGGTGCTTTGTGCAGCAGGTCCCCGGCAATGTGTTAAGACGACAGCATCCGATGCAGCGAGCTGCTGCTCACACCAGCTTATGCACGGCTGGCTTAGTTAGTCTGCAAGGTGCAGCTTTGCCCTGCCTTCTGCCTGGCCTTTAAAGGGCCGGCGTACACTAGGAAAGAAAAGAAAAGTGGGGGAGGAGGAGGTCGGAAATCCCCCCAGTAGCTCCCGTCTGTCACGTCCTCCTTGCTTTGGCCTCAGGATCTGAGGAACTCCAGGGCTGGGTCCCTTTGAAGTCGCTTAATGAGCTGGCCCGGCTAATTGCTTTCTAATTGAGTTTCCAGGCTGGGGAAGGAGGCTGCCTTTGATTTCCTCCCCAGAAAGCCAGAGCGGGGAGGCCAGACGAGACGCGGGGTCCCCGCGGGCCGTGTGGGGAGCTGGGGGGGTCTCAGCAGGGAGCTGGGCGCCTCGGTGGCTGGGGGGGCAGGCGGGTGGCTCTCGGGATGTTGCACAGAGAAGTAGCACGGGGAGGGAGCGGGCACCACAGGGACGGACGGTGCCAGCAAGTCTTGGACGGGGTCGCGGCCCGTTGTCACCCGTGTGCGCCCGCCGGAGCTGGGACCGGGGGCCCCCATTCATCATGTGCCCTGCCTACATATCCATCTGCCCGTCCACCCAATGTGCATATCCATCCCTCCTACTACCTCTGTGTCCATCCACCCTACCTACATATCCGTCCCCATCCCTCCATCCCCATCTCCGTATCCATCTGTCCACGCAATACATGCCCACCTGTCTGTCCAATGATCCCCACATCGCCCACCTCTCCTGCCCCCATGCCCATCTCTCCACCCATCCCTGCCCGCACCTTCCAGCCACCCCCTGCACACTCCTATGTACCCATCCATCCGCACGGCCATGGCACGCTCCCTGCAGCTTGCCCATTATGTCCCTCGAGGGGTAGAGACATCGGTCAACGCCGGCTCCAGCTCTTCCCCTACAAATGCTAGGTCTGCCCCATCCGGGACACATCCCACATGGGCCCTTCGCTCCCTACCAGCCCTCTCTTTCCCACCCTCCAGGCTCCATGCAGAGATATCTCAGCTGCCGGCAAACGCGATGCCTAAAGGGATTAAAGTCAACGATACAGGGGTTTATTTTGTATTACTACTATGGGAGAGAACAGCCGGGTTTGTCATGGCTGCGAGATCGCTGCGCTCGCGGGGCTGGATCGGCGTGCGGTGCCGCAGACGCCGTGAAGGGCAACGGGAGTCGCTAATGAGCAAGGAGAAGAAAGCTGCGCTGAAACATCTGCCGAAGAAGCAGAACAGGACTCAGTGCTGGGGGCGGCTGTCCTGGGAAAGGTGGGGAAAGAAAGGGGGACCTTTCTGGGTCAAATGTGTGCCCAGATCCTTTCAATCCAAGAGCGGTCCCAGAACTGAAGGGGACTCCTCCTTTGCCGGCAGCCGTATGGGGCTTATGGATCGCGGAGGGCGTGGAACAAGCAAGCAGGGAGGTGCTATTTCAGCTCTGGCAGGGAGAAGACCCATTCCCCTCTGCTCTGGGGACCGCGGGGTCTTCCCCGGCTGATGCTCTTGTCTGGGCTGATGTGAGACACGGCCTCGACGGCTGGTTGGAGACAGTGAGCACCACAGCTCGACACCAGGCCCCGTGGCTTTGAAGACGTCCGGTCCTGTGTCCGCGGGGGCACGAAACCTCATCTCCCACCTGCCAGGGTTGCATCTGGAGCCCCGGCGCACAGGCTAGGCTGCATAGGGCATCCTCCAGCCCGGCTGCTGGGCCGGTGGGGAGCAAGGAGCTGTAACGCCAAGCGTGCATGCATCCCAGCCCTCGAACAGTTCATGCCTGCCCAGGGTACGATGCACAGGGCTTTCCCTCCACGATCAGGGTTACAAAGTGCTTGTTCTCCCTCATGGCTTGCTAGGCACGGAGGGACAATGCTGCCTGATCCCCCCAAGCCCCAGCTAGGTGTCCGTGCCAGTATAGACAAGCCCTTTCATCTCATAAAATCACAGAGCACCAGAAGGGAGTGGGAGAGCTCGCATATAGTCGAACCCCGGCCTGAGGCAGGACCAGCCCTGTCCAAACCAGCCCAGACACGTCCATCATCTAACCTCTTAGTGCAACGATGGTCAGCCCTGGCACATCACACCCGCACCTGCCCCAGGGAAGGCGGGGGGACCACGGCGGCCAGCGTCCTCCTGCCGTAAAGGGTTGATTAGAGATCCCAGGTGGAGGCTGTGCCCCCGCTCCAGAGGAAGGCAGCTCCCCCAGATCCATCTCAATCTGGCTGTGGGGGTCTGGCATCTTTGATAGGAGGGGTGAGGAGTCTCTCCAAGCCCAGTCACAGCAGTCTCCTGGGAGACAGGAGAGGTGGTTTTCAACCCCTTTGGGGACCAAACTCCCTGGTTCCCCCTATACCCAGCTGAGAGGCCGGACCCAGTCCTCTAGAAACACCCCCGCAGTGCATTTTGGGTTATACCTTTCCACTTGAGTCAGAAAACTACATTCCCACCCCTGCCACAGACTCTCTGCTTAGCCTTGGGCAAGTCGCTGGATCTCTCAGCTCCTCGAACGGGAATCAGGACCCGCCTCCCCCTCCCCTGAGCCATTAACATATGCAAAGTGCCTGGTTTGCAGCTTATATGCAGAAGGACGTGCCATCGGACCGGTCCCCATTTCCTCTTGACCGCCAAGAGGATCCCAGCCCGGCTGTGGTCTTGTCCGGAGACCCCATCTGCCCCGGCCTTTGCGGGGTTGAGCGTGTGGCCTGTCACTTAAGGGAAAAAGCCAACTAAACTGAAGCCTTTAAAGCAATCCCATAGGGTTGCACAGAGGCCGGGAAGACTTTGCAGAGACCGAAAGGTGCTTCCAACACCCTGCGCTAAGAGAGCAAGGATTCGTCTATGCCCTTATAAAGCCAAAAGCTGACTAGATCACAGGAAAAATGTCCCCGCTGCGGAGCCAAACTATTGTAATAATGCTTTCTTTCTGGGCCAGCCTTGCAGGGATTTGGCAGTCGCTGGGCCTCCTGGCATGGGCAGGCTGCACCGGCTCCGATCCTAGACCGTCAGCGCTGGAGGCTGCTCCACCTCTGCCGGGTGCCCAGACGGGAGAGAGTCCCATGCATACTTGGTGGGATTTGGAGAGATTTAATGCATTTTTCCACCCCATCTCCCCGGTTGCTGGCGGAGCAGACAAAGCCAGCGCCTCGCTGCTGGCACAGAGGCGAGTGCGGGGAAGGCCCCCGGTTGGGTTCGGCACACTTGCACGTACACATGCATGTTCATCTGGACAAGGACCCAGGGTATCGTGCCCTACTCTTGCTAGCTCACACCCAGAGCCTCATGTCGTCAGTCCTCTCCCAGGAAAATCTCCACGCGCGGTCTGCGCGAAGCTTCGGAGGAAAACCTTCGGACCCTGGTCTCTGGTCAGTGCAGGGGTTCGAGCTCGAGTCCAGGCCTCAATGAGATGCGCTGTTGGCAGAGGTGTCTCATGCCGGCGAAGATGCACGTCTCGGAGACGGGCACAGGCTGGCTCCAAACCCTTTGAACCGCAGAGTCCCAGAGAAGCAGGGATCCGAGTCGGTCTATAAGGTGCAAATCTACCCCGATTGCAGACTAACACCTCCAACTACTTCCCCCAGCTCATTAATAGCATGCTGTCTGGCTACAGCTGCTCCCGACCCTCTCCCCGAGGCATTGTCCCAGTGATGGCCGCGGCGGGGACGACAGGCCGGTGAGAGGAGCTGGTGTCCCCGGAGGTTGCGAGGTCGCCAGCTGCGTGGCCGGCGACGGACGAGGGGAGCCGGGGCATCGCTTTTGAAGGTGATCGATTCCTTGACCTTGATCGAGCGCTCGGGCCGGGGGGACGGGATTCCCACGCTCCCTCCGGTCTGAAGGGCCTCTTGCAGCTCGGCTTTGTCCCCTGTGCCCGAGGCTACCGAGGCCTATTCAAAGGGAGGCACACGAGGCTGTGCCCTTCTTGAGCAGCTCACGGGCGGCCACGGCTCAGTCCCGACCGGGGCTCAGTCCTCAGCTTCCCCGGTGAGACTTGGGCCATGCATCTTCCTACGCCTCCAATCACTCCCATTAATGAGGGCAGAGCCGCGGCACTTTGCACATCAGCTCCGAGGGAGGCGTCCAGCTCCCTTCCTCCACGCCCGGATTAAACCCGCTGTGCCAGCCGGCACTATAACAGCCATTAGCTTTATTATTTTTTTATAATAACATTTCATTTCCAGGCTAAATCCACTCCAAATTAAGTTGCACATCTCGACCGAGCTACCCCTGCGAGCCCCCTCCCTCCCAGACGCTTCAGCCGGGGGCTGACGGTGCTCCCACATCCATGGCAGCCTAGAGGTCTTGGGGCTCAGATGCCCCCTCGTCTACCTGCCCCGAGTCAAAAGGCCGATGTGGCCGGAGAGGGGGACGTACCTTGAGCAGCGTAGACCAGCTCACTGTACACGGCCGGGGGGACCATGGGGCCCGGCAGCTCCTGCAGGTACCATGTCAGCGCCTCGGCCAGGGCCGGCCCGTCGTAGGAGTCCAAGTCGACGGCCGAGGGGTCTGCAAAGGGAGGAGAACAGCGTCACACCCCTGAGCCAGTCGCACCAACAAGCTGGACTGAGGCTGCCCCGAGCCCGACGCGGCCGCAGCGCTCATCCCCGTCCCATCCCTTCAGCCGCTGGATGACCGCTAGCCCCCCACGCGAGGGGCACAGCTCTGCAGGACCCCCCCGTCCTCTCCCTTGCAGGAAGACAAACCAGGCCACTTGTCGAGTCACAAATATCAGCAGGAGCCGATGCCTGCTGAGCGCGGAGCTTGGGGTCTGCCTAGAAATAATCACCAGCGATCGCAAGAGGGACAAGTCCCCTCCAGGCAAGGGCTGCGCCGTGCTGTCGCCAACCCCTTCGCAGAGGGACGTTGCTGCCCGGTATTTCCCTGAGCCCGGCCTCCCAAAACGGAGGCTACACGCGGCCGGTGCGATAGACCCCTTCTTTGCAGCAGGCATTCGTATCGCTACGGAGCCACAGGAGTCGTATCCAACGGGAGCAACTGGATTGACCCCCAAAACGCCGTACAAAAGGATGTGCACAGGAGCACCTGTGCCTGGGGGTGAAGCACAAATATGAGCCCTGTGTCAGGGGGATTTTAAGCCTCCCCCAGGGGCATTGGGTGCTGCTGCAGCCCAGGCTGGGGATGGGACTGGGCTGTGCCAATGCGCCTGCTGGGACTTACAGCTGGAGGGTCCTGGCTAGAGGGTCTTGCCCCCCTGCTCAGGCTCAGATGGATGTTGCATTGGGGATGGGAAGGGATTTTACCCCCTGGACACATTGATATGGAGTAGGGGTGGGATTTGCCTTTCTCCATTGCAGGGGCACGGCATCTACCCGGGGTCTCTTGAGTGTATATTTGCAGCAGGGACGTTGGCCTTGCAACCTTTGTAGCAGCAGGACGCTGGCCACCACGGTCCCCCTGCTTTCCCCATGGAGGGGTTGGCTGCGATGTCTGGTGCTATGTCAGGGATGACTACAATTTTGCTAAGAGGTTGGACCGTGGGGTGGTTTGGACCGGGCGGATCCTGCCTCAGGCAAGTTTGGACTGGATGTGACTCAGCGGGTCCCGTCCAGCCCCACTATGTCCAGCAAGAAGCACCTGGGAGGCCGAGGTGGCTGGAGTGGGATGGGGAAACAGCCCAAGAGCCTTAAATCTCAAGATGACCTGAGGCAGAATCCATCCGTCCAGAACAGCACCCGGCAGGGACCCTACGCCATCCCC